GCCATGCTTTCTGAGGTTTGCATTCCTGGACATTGACGAATGCATTTACGTGTCTTGCACTCAGGTGGTTAAAGCTTTTTTTGCTTCAGGCTCTTGGCGGCCGTAGCAAGTGAAGGACTATTAGTAGTTAGCGGTCGCTTTATGGTGGTCCAGGTTAGAGCAATGCCATTGTCGCGGATACGTCTGCTGGAGCGCGAGCTGTTTCAACACATATTCTGGTAGCATTTAAGTTGTAGGGTAGCTTTCATAGCCTGACGGCTCGTACGTGAAGCCCTGAACCCCACAAGCGCAGATCCAAGAAAGCACGATCACAAACTGCTCCAAGCTGTTTCGAATCTTGCCGACTTCGAGCAGACTTTCTTTTAGAACCCCCCCCACCCCCCCAAGACAACATCTTCAGGTTAGAAAACAGCTCGAACATGGTCAGAAGCCCCGTATGAGCCAAAGAAACAAGGTGGGCATCGATCCTTGAGCGAATCTTTTGACTGAGCCTGGTAGAAGCCCATCCAGAAGTAAATGGACAAGATCAACAGCAGGAAGCCAATGAATCCTAAACCCTGAATTCCTAAAACCTACACCCTAAATCCTAAACCCTACACCTCTTCCCATCTCCCCTGTCCTACTATGTTTCGTCGCTTATGATTGAGGCTTCCTTGGAAGGACTTTAGGAGAACCCGTAGTCAAATTTCGATGTATGAGAAATCCGGAAGGTAGGAGTAACTTAGTGAGGGTGGAGGGTTTAGGGCTTAGGTATATTCAGGGATTTTTGGGGATCATGGGGTAGAGGCTCGTTTTGAACAACTCCCATGTGACCTTCATACAGCCCTAATCCAACCCCCTTTGTTCCTGGGTAGCCCCATATTATTCCCATAAACTAAACAGGCCCCAAATAACGGCCCCACGAGAAGCTTCAATCCAATACTAATGTCTTTTATATACCCCGATACCCTAATCTAACTATAAAATCACACTGTCCATGTCATTTCCCATGTTTCTTTCCATTTGACTCGCAATCTTGGGGGAATATCCCTAAAACCCTAGGCTCTAACCCTTTGTATCCCTACTGGAAACACCGTGTCCTACGCCCTAAACCCTAAACCCTAAACCCTGCCCCTAACCTCTAAGACTTCCCCTGGAGGCCACGACTGCAGGAGTGCAGCTCCAGGAGGTTCTTTGGGTCCAAGGAGCCAGGGTTAGGGTTTGGGGTTTAAGGGGTTTAGGGTTTAGGGTTTAGTCTTTAGGGTTAGGGTTTGGGGTGTAAGGTTCAGAGGTCCCCCTAAACCTTAAGTCCTAAATCCTACGCCCTGAGCCCTAAACCCAAACCCACCATGGGTGCGAGGTTTGGAAGACCTTGCAAGGGCTGGGCTATGTCGTGGATATATTGGAGGCATATAGAGTTTAGGGTTTAATATTATAGGGGACAGGCGGGGCTTTGCAGGGTCTAGGGGGTCTTGCAGGGCTTGTGGAAGCTCACCCCAAATAGGGCCCCGCTATATGACGGTATAAGCGCCATCTGTCATTTATAGCGTTCTCTCGTTTAGGGCTTAGAGTTGCCAGTTCCCCAAATCCTCCAAAGGCGGGATCAAAGGGTCTTTTCAGAAAAGGCACTCCTTTGTGGCCCCCCTGTTTTCGAACCCGTATTACAGGAACTTCAAAAACTGAACTGTAGGCTTGAGGGTTTGGGGGTTTGGGAGAAAGGCGGAACATGACAATGGATGGAGCCTCAACCGGGCAGGATCCCCAACGAAGGCCCAGCTCACAGTTTTTCAAACTTGCCACGCATGTTCCAAGTAAAAAGCTCCCCTATGGTCGTCAACACGCTTCGAACGCTCTGTGTGGAGGTTTCCAACAACTAGGGGTCTCTTTCGTGTCCCCAGAAAAGAAGGACTGAAATATGTGGGGGCCTACATGGGGTTCCTTATGTATGGAACCCGAAATTTAGCCCATCCTGTTAGACAGGGACCCACTACGGTTTAGGGTTTAGGGTTCAGGGTATTGGCTCCCAGTTTCTGACGCCACAACCTGATTTTCTGCTTCAAATGCTGCATGAGTCCTGTTGTTGCACCACCTCTCAATCCTGACAACTTTCAGCGGAGTACCAAAAGTAAGAAATATACTGGGTTGCTGTTGCAGAACTTAAATTAAGTTAGCGCAGTAGTGTAGCTGTATTATTTACTATATACCAATATTTTGGTAACTTACATAAACTAAGTTCCTTAACAACAACCCAATGCAGTCTTCTAGGGTTGATATTTGAGCCCTCATGTTTTTCAAACGCCCCATTGAACTGGAGTCTGATCTACCCCAAAGCCGTAGTCTTAACCAGAGGATGTGCCTCTTCATCCCGTTTGCCTGTAACCGTCCTGAATGAGTGGCACGAAAAACTTGTTGCCATTAAACATCACATCTGCGCCATTCTTGAAATGCTGACATAAATTGACACGCCCTGCCTCGCGTGTTGCATTCCCAGCCTTCCAGATAAAAATCCTTCACTGAGTGTACAAATCACTCCAGTTTCCATTCGTCGGACCAGACTCATGTCCGCTTTATCCCAAAGCCCTACTAAAATCATTGAGGCCATACATATAATCCCAACGCACCCCTGTAAAGTCCAGTTGCCATTGCATGTTCCATGTCCTTCTCCATTTGATTCTCCGAATACGCCCCTAAACCAAAAGCCCTAAACCCTCAGCCCTTGACTTTGGGCCCTACAGAAGACCCTAAATCCTAAAACCCAAAACCCTCAGCCCTAAACCGCAGTAGATTTCGGACAGGGTAGGATTTGGGCTCCAATTCTCCCCTTCAGTCCAGGTTTACACAAAACAGCAGCCATGATCATCAACGCTTAGTAGTGGTTGCTAGGGAATGAGGGAGTATAGGGCTAACATAGGGTTCTGCTCGGAGTCTATGGTTTAGGGTTTGGGGTTAGTAAGCGGCGCGGGAATAATGGAATATATTATATAGGGATTATATACTGACTTTATTCTGTTGTTCCCTACTTACCACCAGTAAGAAAAAGGTGTTTCAGGGTACAGGTTTCGGCGCCAGAAGATTGTTTGGACGGAATAGGAAGCCAAGATCTTCATGGATCCCTAGATTCAATCATGGGGTCTGGGAATTCTCTGGCAGGGGAAGGTGCAATTATGCCGTAGAGTTCCTTGCAACGGGTTTACATGAGCATGGGCCTATGCTTGAATCATATCAGAAGTCCCCTTCTCGTAGGAGGGCATTCGGAACTTGCCCAGATCTTGCATATCCGCAGGTTGTTATCGCTCAAAACGATAAGAAACTCTAGGCTATGGAGTTCACGTTTGGAGTTTTTCCGTGAGCGTGGGGCCTCATTTGCAGCTTGGTCCATCGGATGAGGGTGGGGAATAACCCACGGAATATTGTTGTTGGACTTAGGGTTTAGGGGATTTGTGGGCTTCTTGTTGAACCAAGACAAAGCTTCGGAACCCCAAGCATAGCAAAATCGCGATGATGCTGAGGGTTTCTTCCATGCATGCTTTTGCAGGATAAACTTCCGTCAATCAAAAGCCAATGCCTTTGAGCTTGAATCTTCCGTATGCAAATGTTAGGGTTTAGAGTTTAGGGTTTTACAGCTTGTATGAGTCCCAGACCTTGCACATGAGCTATGTTTAAGCCTTGCGTAGGGCTACAAACCTGATATCTCCCCACCTGACATTTTTCTCAACTACAGCTGTGGTTCGCTGGATTTTCCCAGAGATGATTGCAACAATGTTTCGGGTCTAAGTTTTAGGGTTTGCAAGCTGTATTCGGAGAAAAACAACGCATGACCAACAGAACTTCGCGAGAACGGGACCTAGGCTTTCGTTTCAACCCCTGAGCTCCAACAAAGACGCCACATTAGTAGAATCCTCATTAGAGGGACCCCCCAAAACCCCTAACCTGCTTATGCCCTGCACAAGTTTCCCAGTCTCCAAAATAGGAAGCGCGGATTCTGCAGCATGATTTGGGAGTTTAGGGGTTTGATCCATACTGCTTCAGACAGGCCGTGTACAGCGTTTGCAGATTACAACCCTGAACCCTAAACCATCGGACGATCCTGCGGCAGAATGTGGAGCTAACCTGAAATCCTGAATCCTGGAGCTCGCAGAAAAGCCCCAAAACCCTAAATCGAATTCTTAAGCTACTGCTTGAAATCCTGAGCCCAAACTTCCCTGCTCAATACCCCTTAACTAAGGAATATTCTTAGAAGAATATTGGGATCTTAATGTTTTAAGTTATACTCCTTGTTTTAAGGGGTGTTGGGCTCCCTGGGTTTGTACAAATCTTTGGGCTCCCTGGGTTTGTACAAATCTTAATCTTCAAGCCTGCGAAAGACAGATCCCATGTCATTACATGCATGCATGTCATTAAGGCAGCACCACATAATGCACACTTCTTGAGTGCAACGAACAATTATGTATCCTAAGCCCTAAACCTTATTAGATAGTGTGTCCTGGGATTTCCGGGAGTCTCCTGAGGTACAGCGGCTCTAGCAACTGTCCAAGTCGTCCGCTTCTGCGCTGGTGGTGCCTTCGTCCTTGTCTTACTCAGGCTTAGCTGGGAATGTAGGGACGGAAACGCATGTGGAACCCTAAGCCCTAAACCCTAAGTATGATTCATGTAGTTTATGGCGCTAATTTACACGTGGTGCATATGGAGGTCTGCATAAATGCGGGGACCACATGAAGACCCCGAGATGTCATAATCACTAGTAGGGATTTTTGGAAAATGGGATAAAAATTTCTCCGTGGGACTTAGCTTGTGCCTTAGACCTTTAAACCTTTGGGATTCCCTGATACTCCTATT